TGGGTTTTCAGGCTCTTTTCAGCGAAAGGGTTGGCCCTAGCTCAGTGAAGAAGGGAGTGGGTTGAGATGTATACTAACTTATAAGGCGCCACCCGTTTTACAACCCGATGGACAATATACAAGAGGGCTGAAAAGAGGTGCTGGCTTCTTTTTACCTTACCAGTGCAAATAACAACAAAAAAACGGGAAAAAGGTACTAAGTGATACACACAAATCACGGAACTAGATAATATTTACTAACGCCAAAACTAGATATGCGGTGTACAGTAATTCAAAGTATCATACGCCCATATACAGAACGAAATATAAATATGTAATACAATTGGTTATTATTTTAACTAAACCCTTTCTATAGTACTATAGGTCGGTGTACACCATGGATTTGGCAAATTAAGTATATTGTATAATTAATTAGATGGTGTTAAAATGGCGTTAAAATTATTAAAAGATTATTTACTGTATTAAAGCAGAAAACTTATCGAATATTATCGAAAATTAACCGAAAGTGTCGTTATTAATACAAATTTATATAAAATATGAATATACAAGGTGTAAGACGGCAAATTACAACTTAAACTAAACTTATCTGGTTGTTATGGAGCAGAAAACTTCAGATCGGCTCGAAAACGGCAAGGCCCTTAGACTATTGACGTCCTCAGTAAGAATTCCTCTCGATAGCAAAAATGGAATTTCTGGTGTGGTGTCATTCGTCAGCAATACACACTGTACAGTATGGATGCACCAGAGGATGATACACGAGGCACAGGTGGCCCTAGAGATCAATCACGTGTTGTCTGATCTCGTAACACGTAAAGATGCAAATATGGAACTCATCCAGTCCGGTGACAGACAGGATTACCCAGCATGCAGAGAGAAACAGCGAGCTACAGCGATCGTGATAGCGACAGAGAGGCCTAAATTGAAATAATGCGTATAAATATGTATTGCATTATGGGCTAAATCATATTGTTAATAACAAAGATACTGTTATTACCTTTGTTCTTGAGCGGCCTCGTAGTAAAGGTTAAAACCCCTTGGTTTTCCTTAATTTGGGACTAATCCAACACAAAGTTGATATAATCACAACCAGCACAAATGCCCGAACAACTATTCCCAAATTATTAACAATTAAATCCGCAATAGCGTTAATTTATGGTTTCACACCTACTTAAAATTTTGTCAGGAAAACGGAATTAATGCTTACTTCGCTGAGCGACGAGTAAAGAAATTCCCGCGCAAAAAGTGACCTATCGCCCATAAAAAGAGCGAAGGAAGAAATGTATCGAAAAATAGATTTCAATTATACAGGGCCGCGTTTTTAGTACGAACCTTCCTGAATTAAATAGTCGGTAAAGTCAGTTTATTACTTATTAAAATTATACTACGTTACTACAATATACACATTATTTACGAATACAAAATAAACCGTAACAAGTCATCATCGGAGTTATTCCTAAAATATCAAGAGGTTGAAATGACATTATATAAAGCAAATTTTTTAATTTAACGCAAGTAAAAAGTTTTTCTTCACATACTGATTATATTACTTTAAAAAGCAACAAAATGCTTTCGTCGTCAATATACCATATATAAGTCTCGACTTGAGGTTATACAGAACAGATTTATACGATATTTACACTACAAGGAGAGTGGTGTGTATTATTTTCATTGTAGCACGATGTTACGAAATCTTTATCATATTATTACATTGGATCTGTTTACATGCACCACAACATGATTTTAGAGTAAATGCACTGTTTCATGAGACTTTTTATCGATCTAATTCTGGTCAAAACTCTCCTATAAACAGAATATGCAGACATTTTAACTTATACTGTAGTACTCTAGATATTTTTCATACCTCGCTCATTAGTTTTAAAAGATTTTTAAAGGGAACTATTATTGTAAATTAACATTTTCTATTAAAATAATCTTTTCTGTACTTTTATATTCAATTAGCTTTAAGTAATTTGTGGACATTGTTTTGGGCTATAAAGCCTGAGTTTGTCGCTTGTCCTTAAATAAATAAATAAATAAATAAATAGGGATCGAGGAGGATTACTATTACTACTACTACTACATCTCGTACTTCAAACTTTTTAAAATGAGGTAGAAAGAGCATTACCTGCTAGGCAGTAGTTTGTTCGTTTACCATAGAGAGGGAGTCCAGGTAATTGTGAGCAATTTTTCGGATTTGATTAGATCTTTTAAAAATAAAATTTATAAAAATTTTTCTCTTCGGGCTCAGCCTACAGCGTTATCAGCTTTTGAACCTGCGACTTGAAAATAAATATTTTGTTATGACCCCTTTGTGCCTTGAATAGATTGTTTTGGCTAAAGCTGTGTTATTTGAAGCTATTTTTACTAACACATTTAGTTTATCGATAGCTGCTTTAGTTCCCCGAAGGTAGAGCATCTTCGGTTGCTCTAAAAGAACAGATAATGCAATGGAAAAGAATTAATAACTTTTAAGGTGGTCTAGTTTCAAATTTGGCAATTTTTGACGGCCAACTCCCAATAGTCCCCCTCCATTCTAAGTGCGTACTGTATTTTCTGTGTTGATAATTTAAAAACAAATATTTATTTTTCTCGTGAGTTGGTCGAGGTTCAACATATTTTCTAAAAAATTCGGTATATTGGATTTGCTAGGATCAGTCCTACCTAGAAATACAAATATATTTAACTTTTGTGTCATATGTATTTGCTAATCTAAACATAAATACCTTAAGGATTAGAAATTCATCACAGCGTAACGTGTTTTTTTTTTAAATTTTCCTATTCAGATAGACAATCGGAGTATAAAATGTTGAAATAGGAGAATTGTGCTTTTTAATATTGCAGAGACTACCAGGTGGTTTTTAATACTTCATTCCGACGAATAAAAAACATCAATAACACTTTCTATATTTTCTATTGGATTTTTCTGGAATTATTGTTGCATATTCGATCTTACCGAAAGTTTAGAATAAAATGCTATTTCAAATTAAATGTGTTTGTTTCTTTCTTTTCTAATAATAATAAAAAATGCCTTGGAAACATATAGCATACACGTCAAATTTTATAACAAAATTCAATCATCATATTTGGACTTGATGAGAAATATAAACGTCACTTTCGATTTTTATTGAGAAGAAATTAAAGTATTTACGATGAAGCTTAATTTAGGTAATACGAATGTGTAAAAAACAGTATAAGCATTGTGAACATTAAGGGTTGTGCCGGTTTCGACCGAAAAATGACCTTTATCGTTCTTAATATTTAATATACTCTATAAATTTACTATTTTTATACTGTCTAAGGTGCGCTTTGTTTGTTGTTAATAACGCGTTCAGCATTGAAAATGCCATTCGATCATACTCAAGACAGTCCTCTAGTGTATACATTCTATATATATATGTCACATCTAATATTAACAATTGAAAACAATTCTGAAACAAATACATAGTATCCAAATCTATCGTGAAGAAAAAAAGTTATAATGAAATATCGATTTTTTAAATATACACTTGTATCTTCCCTATTATTAGATATATATTCTTCAAACTTCATACCAATTTAAGTTTGGAAAAGCTTTCGAAGATAGTATGTAAAACTGTAGAGGGTGTTCTTTAAAAGAGACAAGATAAGAAATAGTTTGGTTTAGAAATAGAATTCAATTAATATTTTTTAGAATTGTTTTAAAAATTGCAAACATATTTAAAGCTTTATTCCAACCCATTTTTTTTAAATATAAAGGCAAGAAAACAGAGGGATAGAATGATACGTGAATAATTCCATAACTTTCAACGTTTGCTGCCAATATACATATAATAAAGCTTGTATTTTTTTTCTTTATATACTTCTCATGCTATAATAAAGGCTAGTTTAGTAGATTTTAGTAGTATATTCAGTGGAGTAGCTTTTGTATTGAATAGTGGATTGATTGTGTAACGTGAAGAAAATCCTAAAAAACTAGTAGTTAAAACTCACCCTATGGTCCTTAGGCCTCGTCTCCTGCCTCCTTGGTGTACCTCCCTCAGTATCAGGATAGATCAGGTTCCTAACAGCCCCTACGAATCTAGGCTCAAAAATCACACTGGGAAGCGCCAGCAGCGTCAACTTGGTATTGTACCAGGTGGGCATACCTCCGACGAACACATCCGAGTTGGTTGAAAACCGCCCGAAGTTAAATTCCTTTCCTCTGGAGGTTCTCATTTGAGATACCCCATCTACAGTCAAGATGGTGCGATCTTCGTGTCTTTGTACGTGGACCTTATGCCAGTGCCCGTCGTTGAGATCTCTGCCTACAGTGATGATCTGCGCACCGCCTCCTAAATTGTATCGCAGTCTCAGAGCGCCCTCTACCAGTTTAATTTCGAAAAAGTCGTAAGTACCCCCGTCATCAGTATAGAGCAATAAACCGTTAGGTTGATCCGTTTTAAATTCGAACTCTAGACTTCCGTTGGTACCACCTCCCCATTTCCGGAACTGGGAGAAAGAATTTGTCGAACCGTCGAGCAAAAATCCATAAGCCAGACAGATCAGTGTGGCTGATATCACTAGAAACCGCATTTTGCACGTGGATACTAAACTGCCCCGCAAAATATTGAATTAAACAACATTTCTCTACCACTACAACTGTCCATGACGCGTGGGGAAGGATTGTATCTTCGCGATATGTATCTGTTTGTTATCGACGATGAGACGAGTTTGATTTAGGACCTGTTTGAGTCAGTCTGCATCCTAAGAAGCCTGTGCGCGTTTTGAGCAGCCTATGAATCGGGAGTTGCTCTAGCAAAGGAAGCTGAAATTATTGAAATAAAAGTTTAATTCAATATACCTACGTGAGATAAGGTTATGGGAATGAGTGAAGCAAAAACCGACCGGTTGGTATCTTATTACACTTTTGATTTTGAATCGCGATTGATGTTGTTGTTGATTGATGTTGGCTGTTTTCCAAAAAATAAATATTTAAGCCTGTACTTTCTGCAAACATTTTTGGAAGTACTTTTAACATTCATCAGCAAGAGAATATAAACTTGAAATTTGCAGATGTAGTGTAAGTCGTTTTTAGATATTTATTTGCATTATTGGAAAAATTAAAAAATCTGTGGCGAACCTATTGGAGCAGTGGTGTCATTTTGATAAACAAAAAGTTATAAATCCGGTTTTTTAATCATCTTGTACAGTGTTTGAAACAATTTGTCAAGATAATAGACCTTTTTAGTAGTAACGTCACATACGCCAATAATAGGCAACCCCTTAGTGCAGATTGTCATGAAGAATTTCTCAATATTTTTACTAGATTGATTTTCGACCTTATGTACTACAGGGTGATTTACTATATTTTGCCCCCACCCCATTAACTTTTTTATTCTTAGAGTTATAAAAAAACAAAAGTTTCACGATTTTTTAGGAAGTTATCGAAAACAAAATAGCCGCGGGTGTTAACTCTGTTAATTTAAATGGAACACCCTGTATATTTTTACATATTTGGATAGAACATTACCTGCCGAGCATAGTCATGTAGGGTTTGTTGGGTCCATCGCTAACAATAAGCGAGATACTAATAAAAAGCGAAAAGAAGGTTTTTTATTAAGAGAATATGACATCTTGTAATTGTTAGACCTCTTTCAGAAAGAAGGGCAGAAGCCTTTTTTCCAATTACGTAAGGACTTACAGATTTAGTTGCAATATATTTTTACATATCGGACCAATGTCCGATGTCAATATGGTCGAAAATTCGTATAGGTATTTTAACTAAATCGCACTAATTAGGCCGTGAGAGGCCAAATTACTCATGGACAATGTTATACGGTAGGCCGTAACAGTGACAGGTAATGTCATGACAACATTGTTATTGTTTGACAGCTTGTATTATTATTTAATTAAAGTGGGTTACATAGAAGTAGAAAATTTAAATATTATAGGAATTTAAAATCCATACTCTTGTTACTACCTACTATAATAATTACACAATTATAATACATAACAGAAATACAAATGTCATTGACTTCTATATCCATTGTACTTACCACACAACTTAGTTATTTACAAAATTATGGGTAGATTTTATTATTATTTCTTGTATATTGAATACAAATTCACTTAACCTTGTATTTTTTATATGTCCGATTCTGTAGGTTCGACCTATTCAAAAGCGTTTATAAATTATTATGACCCATTCAATACGTTTAAAAAAGACAATTTGTCTTGCCCTGAGTTCGTCGATTTGTCGAGTTATCAGAATTTTTACATTCTCCTTTGTTACTGTATTCAAACAGTTTCATTTTGTTTTTTGCAAGGTATATTGTACACTTGCCACAAAAATGAATGTATGGACTGCTTCCTATAAAAAAAAATAATAATAAGGCCAAAGTAAGGCCGAACTATGGATTTTTTTTTATTTCTTCCATTTAAAGAAAACTTGAAAATATTGGATGTCTCATGAAAAACGTCACGTCAATTAACCACATTTGACACCCGAGGTAGAAAGACATTGGCGGCGTGGCGTACACGGTAGCAGCTTACAGTGCTTACAGTGTTTTGCAGTTACCAAGGCGTGTTTCTGATGGTTTTTAATTTATTTATAATTTGTATTGTACTGTATGGATATATGATTTGTACTGTACTGTACTGTAAAAAAATAAAAACACAAACAATTTTATCCAAAATATCTACTTTATATATACAGGGTGTACCATTTAACACTCCCGTTCACAATATCTCCGAAATTAAGAAATGTTTTTTAGTTGCGGAAACTGGAGTTGTTAGGTACCTCTAATAGCTTCAAATTGTAATTAGGACTGTTAGTTCAAATCTTTCGGTACAGATGGCATAGCGATACTAATCAAATGTTTGTTTCCCGGAACGTGGAAATTCAGTCCATCTGAAAGATCGTTAAATTTTGAGTAATTTTCGTAATATAAAGTTTTTCCCTATATTTACTTGTTTTCGAGATATGTCGACTTCAATATGTGTGACGTAACAGGAAAATCTATTACTTCACATACTTACTAACTAATAAATAATAAATGATAAAAAAACAAACGTATGATCAACCACAGAAAAAAAAGTTGTACAATGGTAAATCTTATAAGGAGCAAAGACGAACCGTATTTTATCAAATGTTATTAAAAAATGCAGTCATTTGTTTAAAATAAAACATATATGACAGATGACACATGTTAGTTTTCCAATAATTACAGTTTTATCAGCTTGCGTCTTTCAGTTTAACTATACTAGTTATAAGATTTACCATTGTATAATATTCTTTATGTAGTTCATCATTTGTTTTTTTTTTTTATTTTGTTTTGTTTTGTTGGTTAGTATGTGGTGTGGATAAAGTCATTACAACAATATTTTAAAATAATATTTTGTCTCGGTGTTATTTAGATAAAATAATAGATTTTCCTGTTACATCGTACATTGCATATTGAAGTCGACATGTCTCAAAAACAAGTAAATATTGGGAAAAACTGTATATGACATAAATTTTTCAAAATTTAACGATCTTTCAAATGGACTGCATTTCCATGTTCCGGGGATCAAAAAATTTTTTATTATCGCCACGCTCTCTATACAGAAATATTTGAACAAACATTCAAACTGCAATTTGAAACTATTCGAGGGACCTAACAACTCCACTTTCCGGAACTAAAATAAATTTCTTTATTTCGGAGATATTGGCAGCGGGAGTGTTAAATGGCACACCCTTATACCGGGATATCCAGAATGATCGATGGCGATGGCGCCGCTATTTACAAATATTTTGTGTGCCGCTCTCCTATTATTTTCACTTTTCCTAGTTAGCAACACTGACAATGATTTACCTCGTTCATTGGCGGGTTAAATGCAGTGTCAATAGGGTCACATATTTATTTTAAACACAAAAAGTGGAATGTTGGCATTAACTAATTTGAGCGGTTTATTAATTTGTTAAAGAAATGGATTAAATAAAAATGACTTAGATGTTATTACTATTAACCTCAAAACTAATATAAGAATCGATTTTTAACAATTATTTATATATCTTGTTTTCTTATGTGAGGTTCAAAGTAAAAGCAACAATTTTTAAATGAATTTAGTATACTTTCCTCATTTATAAATGCAATTAAAAAATCGATTTAAAATTTCTTAAATTCTAACATAAAAAGAACATGTTACCTATAATGACATCATTTTATTTAACAAACTTTCTTGTAAATTTTAAATAATAATTGCTTTAGTGGTTTAAAGTTAAAAAAAAAGTGAATACGTACTTTTAATTTTGACCAAAATTCTGTTCCTACCAGTAATAATAATTTTTGTAATTACTTTGTTATAATTTCTAACAACATTGAAACATTGCAATGAAGAATAAAAATATTGCTTTTAATTACAATTTATTTATAATGACTGTACAAAATGTCTGCCTTCGTTCTGTATACATAGATTTATTTACTCGTCTTCTTAAACTGTCAAATACATTATGTAATTCATTTTCAGTAATATTAGCTAATTTATTTGTTATAGCGTCCTTTAGTTCATCCACTGTGTGTAAACGGTTTACATATATGGCATTTTTTAATGTTCCAAAAAGATAATAATCTAAGGGAGTCCGGAGATCTTGGAGGCCATAAGCCTCGACTAATAATGCGATAGTCACAAAATTCTCTTAGGAACTCCAGTGTTGTGTTAACTGTGTGTGCTGTTGCCCCATCTTGTTGAAAATAACCATTGCGCAATTCGTCATCATGTAGCTGATTTAAAAATAGCTGGAAAATGTTTTGTCTATATCGCTCAGCAGTAATATAAAGAAAATAGGTCCAATTATTCTTCGCCAAACTCCTATTTTAACAGGATGTAAAGTGGTTTCCATTAACACATGTGGATTCTCCGCAGACCACATACGATGATTTTGTGAATTTATATTATATCTACTTAGATGAAACCATGCCTTATCGGTAAAAAAAGTTATATCTAAAAGATTTTCTCGTTTAAGTTGTTAAACCAGTTCTTTTTTCATTATCTAATGTTAATGATTATTGCACCATGGAAACTTTGTATGTATGTAAATGTAATTTTCTTACAGTTCTGTGTACTGAACCATTTTGACATTTCTATAATTAATATTTTTAAATGCTGATGTTTAATATTTATAAATATTTACCCCCCTGAGCTGAGAGTTGTCGTAAAGGTTTAGTGGGGCTTGCTGCTAAACGCTCTCTAACATCCTCCAGTTTATCTTCAGTTAAAACTGACTTTCTTCCAGGTGACTTCCCTTTACAAACACTGCCAGTATTTCTGAATAGTGTCACCAAGCGTCGAACATGCTGAGAAAAAATGTTAAAATAATCTGCGGTTCCATGATTTGGAAACTCTTCCTGGAATTGCAGGAAACATGAATGGATTGAATAATTCCAACCCTTTTCGTCTTGTTGACCACTCCGAAAATAGGTATATACAATAAATTTATCGTCTTCTAATGAAAACGCCATTTTCTAACTTAAAACATTTCAAGTATCGAAGAAACCATCGGTATTTGCTTCCTTACCACAAAACTAACAATTAACAGATGATTAGCGTTAAAAAACACTGATTATTTAGAAAATTAACGATAAATTCAAGGTAAAAACACAATCGGCGAACACAAATATAAGCACGGGCGTCTCTGAATTGACAGATCGTGAAGGTCGAAAATCGAAGAATACGGAAAGTAATTTTGATCAAATGGAAGTAAATTGTAATATCTTTGGTAACATTTACGTGTGACGTCAGCTTCAATCATTCTGGATCGCTCGGTA